GTTCCTTGTTCATTGCGTATATGTGCTTTTTTTCGCATCGAGTGCCCTAGATATCATATCTGTACATGAAGACAATCACTGCCTTTATACGTGTCCGTATATGATTGCGAGATTTGCTTCAGATGAATTTCTCAGGCAATCGACAGAATTTGAAGGGAAACTGACGAAAAGAAAATATATAATTTTTTTCTTTATCAACGTGTCAGAATCATTGCGAGACATATTTCGATCGAATATGTATGTTGTTTCAACTACCATCAAATTTTCCAACCTTGCAATTAACAACTGATACATTCCGTTTGCTCATTGACACGACTAGGATACGGACACATTGAAATGAAATTTTCTTTAAAACCGACTAATTTGATTGAGAGAAGAAAGATATCTATCATCTTTTGTCTTCATTTTACGCTCACAATTCGAATGTAAATGTCCCCGTCATTTGTTATATACGAATTGTATTACATCATCGACAGATAAGAATTTTTGTCATTGAAGTCAATGGTATTTAATCTATGAGAATCAACGAATGAGTTATTTTCATTTTCTTCTTCTCCTGTCGTGTTTATTTTTTGATTAGAATAAGCATTTTATTCTCCTTGACTTGTGTATTAAGACAGACGACCTACTTTTCCCGGTTGGACAAAAGAAACACGATAACGACGATGAAGAACGATCATCGTGGTACTGACCCTCATCTCTCTCGCTTGCCGTTTTTTCTTCTCTTTTCATATATGTAGACGCGCATATGTATGTATGTCGGTGTTGTAGCGACGCGAGTATGCACTCAGTATTCTCCTCCGCTTCTTGTCGCCTACGCTCAATATGGGTACGCGTGAATCAGCCGACATTCGTATTCTTTTTCTATTTCTCTTCATTTTTTTCCTTCTCCCTCTTTGCGCTTGCAAACGAGTAGTGTTAGGGGCGTCAATTGTGTGTACATATACATTGATAGATCGAATTTGCTTCTTTACCTTCTCTTTCTCTTCTTTTTTTTAGAATGATGATGTTTTAAAAAGTCAAAATCATGGATGAAAAACAAACCAATCCAACTCTGAGACGATATCATCTGTTGAGTACCGAGCATCACGAGGACGAACAACAACAACAACAACAACGAATGCTTTCAAATCACCAACAGATTATTCCCATTTCGATCGATCATCATTTAGCAACACCTACTACTCTGTCAAACAAACGACGGCGTTGTTCGATAACCACTGAACCAACACTCTCCTCGTATTTACCATCGAACACTCCCGATTTTATTTACCACCAGAATCTACCAATAACAATAGCACGAGGTGCTCGAAAACGATCAGCACAGGACGATTTAGATACTGATGCAACACATCATTTCCTTCGCGACCATGAACACTATGTAAACTAGTTCACTTTCGTTGTTCGAATTTGATCTCATCTTGCTCTTCTTCTAGGCTCATAAACGCGCTCGATACGAACCGTCAAGTAATACAGAACTAGAAAATCAACCTCCGCATGCAACATTGAAACGGCGGTCATTACACTTTCAACATCAACAAGAGCAAAACTTTCTTTCAACAACATGGGACCATCTCCGAGCGTCCAATGAAATTCCATTATTGTTTAGTAACATTCTCCCAGCATCACCACGGTTAAGTACGACGACGACAGCGGCGTCATACCATCGAACAAATAGTGCGCCAAATCACGAGCAGACTTTATCTGATCATTATTCGTCATTATTAACCGAACATCATCATCATTCTTCAATTTTCCATAGTAATTCATTGATAACATCGAATCAAAAGAGTAAATAAGAAAGTTCTTGTTGATCAACAAACTCATTTACTCGTTGTTGATAGGTACAATACCAAAATCATCGAAAACAAATTTACGTTTACTCTCACCTCAATCGAATGGTTCTAGTCCACTACGAGCAACAAATTTCATACTTGACAACAAACAACAAACAACACTTCGCACAGGAAATATTTCTCCAGCTCACTCGGATTCATCGAGTGAATCAACATCGACTTGCTCATCCGATGAGCAATTGCATCATCATCACTATCACATTCACCAGCCACAACCGTGGCGTTCGTATCGTGAACGTGAAAACTACGAACAATTGCTAGATCTAGCCGAGAAACTCTCCGACCCGAATCGTTTTAATCAAGTGGACGTTCAACAGTTCTTTTCCTATCGTTACAAAATATGCACATTATCCTCAAAACAAACAGCCTGCGTTATTTGTATGTCACATTTTAAAAATGGACAACATATTCGTGTACTTCCATGTCAACATGAATACCATTCGAAATGTATTGCACGTTGGTTTACAATGAATTCATCGTGTCCTATATGTCGTCGCAATAATTTCCTCTCCTCTTCTTGCTGATATAAATATCAATATGTATAGTTTATTGCACATAGCGTTTATGGATTTAGGTAGATTTCTTTCGTTGTGTGCAACAGTAAAATATTCGATTATGTCTCCATGTACATTTTCATGATGTGAAGCAAGAAAAAATACGGGTTCTCTTCTGTGCGCGCGTGTATTTGTCTTGTCTTCTTATTTACATTTTTTTCTCTTTCTCATTTGTTTGTATGTACCAAAGACAAGAATCTTTTGTGAGAGAATTAACTATCCGCTCTACAATGTTAGGTCATTTACTGTTCTTTCTATTCAGTCGGTTTTTTTTGTATTTCAAACGAGGAAAAAACGTAATAGACAAATGTACAAAAGATTCTTTTTTTCTCTCTCGTTTCATTCTTTTCTTTTTGTTATTCGTGCGTAAAAAGATATAGGCTAGAGAGATAGATAGACAGATGCTCACATTTTTAACCTCAGGGAAAGAACGTAAACCATTGAAGCTTACAGATGAGAGTGATCAATTATCATTTTTGTGAGTTATAACTAGCTTGACAGTAGTGGTCATGCATCTTATATATTTGTCTTATCTAGTCCGACACGAGAGCGAAAGAGGAGAGAGAGAGAAAAACGGCGAGAAGCGTCCGTGCGCATTTGTATGTATGTATGTACATATATTGCGACGGGCGATTTCAATAGGATGTCGACCGCCATCATAAATAACAAGAGTATAATTAAAGAAAAAGAAATGAGAAAAGATAGCATAGTTCCATTTTCCATTGCCTTGTGAATAAAAAAAACTCGAAGGAAAGAGCGAACGGGGGAAAAGAGAAACAGAACGAAAGAACAAACTGTATAATTAAGAGAAAGACGAGACGTCGAGCATCTCTCTTTCTCCCGCATTTGTTCGTTCAGAACGAACAAGCGTCTAGAGAAAGAGAGAGAGAGGAGGGAGGCATATACACAGTTGTCGTGACGAAGTGGGTCTATTTTTTTCTCCTTTGTTTGCAATGAATGAACACATATACATTCAACATGGCGCCGTTGTTTCTTTCTTTTCATTTTAGATCATGATGACAGTCACAGAAAACACCGTTTCCCAAATGTCCCAGATGATCGGTGAGTTGAATGATAGAAGGCATGGAAATTTACAATAAATCTGTCATCTCTATTGTTCTGTAGATTATGCAAACTATGCAAGTAATCGATCATATCCAACTGCATACGACTATCGTCATCATCAGTATCCTTGGGAAAAGTCGAACTATCCGACGTATACCCCAAATCAATCGACTTCCTTTTCAACCGGTACTATTTCGACAATGAACAAACCTCAGCCATCGTCGTTTGATACAATTCCAAATTTAAACAATACGAATCCAAACTTTTATCGCCGTCATAGTAAATATTAAAGGATTCTCTACTTTGGAGATAAAATTTCCATTCTGATATCTAGCTGAATCGACTTTACCAACGTCAACGTCGATCTATCCGTCGACAACCAATCAATCTTCGACAATTCCATTTCCTTATTCACATCCATCATCAGATTTATTTTTCGGATGGAATAATGGTTCATCTTTGATACGTACACACAGTGCTAGTTCATATGCAGATCATCCCGGATCATGTATGTCATTGAATTCTGATTTTCAGTGTGGAAAAATCTAACTGAATATTCATTTCAGCTTCATATTCGTCCTATAATCCAATGTCAAGTTTAAATGATAAAACTTCTGTGAATTCACGTATACCGTCGATGTCATCGACAAACACATATCCACCGTTTTTCAATCTCTTGCCTGCAATGAATTTTTCGTTGCCGTTACCTTCGGCAGCATCGGTGCCAATATCGAAACGATCGGTTCCGTCCAAAATCAAACGTCCACGTGTAACAGCTCATATTCGTACTGAAATTCTTAAATTAAAGACTACTAAACCAACAGTATTTGTTTGGGAAATTCAACAGAATCTATTACAAAATGGTATTTGTACCGCCCAAACATTACCAAACGTAAGTGAATTTGTTTGTTTCATCTTAGACTATAAATCTTGTTTTCCCAGGCCGCTGCTATTCAACGAGTTCTTAATGAATCTCCAAAAGCTGTCGCACCTGTCAAAGAAGAACCCAAAGTAAATGTCAATCTTCAGACAATATTTAATACGTCATCTTCTGTTACGATTTGCCTCTCCCCATCGCGTTCTCCAACGTTATCCAATGGCGAAACAGGTTCTGAATGTTCGATTTGTCTCGAAAACTATCGTAGTGGTCAAGAAGTTAGTATCTTGGCATGTTCACACGAATATCATTCATCCTGTATTGGAGAATGGATGTTGAAAAATCGTTCGTGTCCAATGTGTCGAAAAGATATTCATAATCAACCGCAATTCGTTACATTGCTTATTTGAATCGTTTTCGTTTTTTTTCCTTCTTATTTTTCTTGTGTCCGTGTTTGTGTTTATTGTAAATACGAAAAACAAAAACTAATGTGAATCATATTCTGTCGAGCCACACTCATGTGATTGAACTAGAAGAGGAGAAGAAAAACAATAATAAAATCTTGTTTGTTGCTTTCGATAAAATTCTATTAATTGGATAATAAATGGAATGAAATATTTTCGTGTTATTCAGATATAAAAACAAACGATGACAGATGATAATGCTCGCCAAGAAGAAATCAGACGGTTCCAAGCGAAACGGCGACGAATTGTAAGCTGAATGATGTCTTTCTCATTTCCAACACCGATGTTTACCATCATCTTGCGTTTTGTAGGAACAATCCGATTCGGAAAATGAGTTTGATATGGGTGAAGAGTCCGATTCAGGAAGTAGAGACTCAGATAAGAATGTGTATGTGCCAGTGAAAGAGCGACGAAAGCAGCAGGTGAGTGTTTATCTTGCGATTTCGTACGATGGAAATGTCAACGAATTGGTGTATATTTTAGTTACAGCGAGTCTTAGGTGGTGCTAATGCTAATCATGGAAATGTTGATGGCAGAGCTGGTCGTTTGCCATCTGATGATACACAAGCACAATCGACGCAAGAAGAGATTACGGTTGGACCTCAAGCCAATTTCACCCTACTTGATCAAATGAGTGAAATCAAAAAGAATCAAGGTAGGATTTTAGTTGAAATGATTGAAGTGTCATTTTCAATGGAACTGCATTACAGCCGCCACGGACCAGAATAGCGCTGATAAGATGCTCGAAGAAGAAGAACGAATTCTTCAAAATGTGATCGAAACAAGAGGTAAGATATCGAGTCGAATTTTTCATGTACAATAGAATTGATTATATTTTCAGCTCTGATGAGTGTGTCTGAATTGGCCAAAGGTGTTGAATATACTGATCCAATTCGCACAAGGTAAATAATTGAGGAAAGAAGTTTTCCACTAGCAAAGATTCTATTTTAGTTGGCGACCACCAAAAGCTGTTCTTCGAATGCCAGATGATCGCCATCAACGTATTCGTCAAATATATAATATACTTGTCGACGGCGAAGATATTCCTCCACCATTATGTAAATTTGAAGTATGAAGAATCTTTTCCACGATTATCGATATTTCATCTGTCAACGTACTTTAGGATATGAAATTACCGGTCGGCGTTTTGAATGCATTGAAAGAGAAAAAGATTATGCGTCCAACACCAATACAAATGCAAGGCATTCCATCTGTGTATGATTATTTTTAATAATATAACTAGCGAAAGCCCAGAAGCAGAATATTTTCACTTTTTAGTTTATCTGGTCGAGATTTAATTGGTATTGCCTATACTGGAAGTGGAAAAACACTAGTTTTTGCTATACCCATCATCATGTTTTGTCTCGAACAAGAAAAAGCCATGCCATTCACGCGTAATGAAGGACCCTATGGACTTATAATTTGTCCGTCGGTAAGAACAAGACACTCAACAAAGATCATTTTTAAAATCCAAATTTTGCCGTATCTAGCGTGAATTGGCCAAACAAACTGAAGCAGTCATATCAAATATCTGTAAACATGCGCATCAGTGTGGTACGTACGCATCTTCCTTAATTTTCATTGTTCATCTCTATTTACGATTTTAGGATTACCATTATTAAGAACAGCAGCTTGTATAGGTGGTACACCAATGACTGATCAGTTAGCTACAATAAAAAGGTATGTATCATGTGTTGCCTTTGACTGTGTATATGATTGTTCTTTTAGTGGTGTACATATCGTTGTTGCAACACCTGGACGTTTGATAAGCATGTTGGACAAGAAAATTCTCTTTTTGGATGTTTGTCGATATTTATGTATGGATGAAGCTGATCGAATGATTGATCTTGGTTTTGAAGAAGAAGTTCGAAATATAATGTCCCATTTTAAAGTAGAGTAGTTCTAATTAAGAAAATGAACTTCGATTATGTAAATTGTTCGATAGGCACAACGACAAACGTTATTGTTTTCAGCAACCATGCCGAAAAAGATTCAAAATTTTGCTAAAAGTGCATTAGTGAAACCGATCACGATTAATGTCGGTCGTGCAGGTATGTTTCACTGACTATGAATAGCATATCGACAAAGTTTTAATGTTAAAAGGCGCAGCAAGCTTGGAAGTTAAACAAGAGCTCGAGTACGTGGCACCTGAAGCAAGAGTCATAGCTTTACTAGCAGCATTACAAAAAACTGCACCACCGGTAAGACACAAATCAAGAAAGACATTAGTAGTTCGATTTATATTTATTTCTAGGTTTTGGTTTTTGCTCAACGAAAGCAAGATGTCGATGCTATTCATGAATATTTGTTATTGAAAGGTGTCGAAGCTGTTGCAATTCATGGTGGAAAAGGTATGCCATAGATCATTCGCACTCAATAAGATCTCATGTGCAGAAATCCGTGTTTGAGCAATACTATATATCGATAAGTCAGCTGTAATCTTATGAGACACTTTTTATACATCATGATCATCTGTTCTCCTCCTCCTCTTCTTCATCAATAATGTATTGATCGATTTTCAATCGAGTCATTTTTCAAATAACGCATCGACTGTCTTCCGAAGCCTTTTTACGTCTATTATCTAATCGTTCGATGGATATGTTGTACTCTTTACTCTTGCTTTCGTGTAGATCAAGTTGAACGATCATATGCAGTGGACAAGTTTAATAAAGGTGAAAAAGACGTTCTCTGTGCAACTGATGTTGCGTCGAAAGGTTTAGACTTTCCGGACGTTCAACATGTAATCAATTACGATTTACCTGAAGACACTGAAAACTATGGTAACTTGACCCTTCATACCGATCGATGTATGTTGCTTAAACTTTCTCTCTTTCAGTTCATCGAATTGGGCGAACAGGTCGTTGTGGACGTATCGGTCTCGCTACGACTNTGACCATTTTGACATCAATGTATTTTATCTATACACTAATTAAGACAAATACGTACACAGTAGGACAGACGGAAATGATGTTTTTATTTAATTAGATGTTTCGTTTATCTCGACGTTAAGATATCTCTTTTCTTTTTCATTGTTGTCAAACGAAAAATCATTACATATATCATCAGTTCGGCATCTGATTGAATATTAGCCTTTTTGCGTCTTCAGTTTGATTATGACCATAAGGTTCATCATCACACCTTGACGATCAAAGACATATTTCATTCTTTTCTTGTCCTCTATTTAGATTTATCTGATGAAAGTAGTGACAGCAAGATTGGTATGAGAGATGATCCAAATGAAAATGACGAGTCTGTAGAGAAACGTTTGAAATTAAAACGAAAATTACAACGGAATCGAACATCATTCACTCAAGAACAAATCGACGCATTGGAACAAGGTACTTGTTTTCATCGCTTTCACAATCAACGAATCGCAACATTTTTCTCCGTTCTTAGCTTTCAATAGTACACATTATCCAGATGTTTATGCACGAGAAAAACTTGCATTGAAAATAAGTTTACCCGAAGCTCGAATTCAAGTAAAATAGCAGATCATTCTCATGACTATTGATTCGAACTTTGCATTCATCAATGTAGGTATGGTTTTCTAATCGTCGAGCAAAATATCGCCGAGAAGATAAAGTCAAAGGCCGTCGACAACATCAACAACAAATGATGAATGACATGGGTGAAAATATGCGCCCATTAGGTTCAACACCGCCGCCATTACCACCTCCACCATCCACTTCTTCCTCTGGTTTACTGTATCCTCAAGTATTTCCCTCGAATAATCCTTCCATGCCGAATGATGCACACCCTCAATCTCACCAATACGGAACATTTGGTTCTGGCTTCGGTGCTGCTATGGCATGCAGTTCAAGTGGTTACCCAACGTTTTTTCCCAGTAAGACTTAATTGCTCTTTATATCCTCAAGGAATTGTAATCATTTCCCTTTTTCTCTCCTCAGCTTCAACACGTGGTTACGATGGACTTAGTCCATTTAGCACACCTTATAATCGTTCTTGTCCAACTTATCCGTCAGGCATTCAAACAAATCTCTCTCCAGGTAAGAAGAAAAGAAACGCTAGAATATGAAAATGTTTATCTTTCTCTGTAGATCATATGAAAAATATGTCAGCGTATGGCGGTGCTCCACATCTTTGGTATTCACCGATATTGCCGTGAAGAAAACAAAAGGTATGTGTTGTGTCTCAAGAGAGATGAGGTTTGATTGAAAAAGTGATAATTTGCTGAATAAATAGAAGAATCAAGCGTGTAAAGTATGAAAAAACAATTGTCATTTTGTTTTGTTTTGTTTCAGATTGGAATCGACACATTTGGACTTTCGTCAAGATTAATCTGTATTATAATTGTTTGTTTGTTTGTTTGTTCTTGTTTTTCTATATTGTCTCCTCTTCTTCTTCTTCTTCTTCTTCTTTTCTCACTGCTACTCCTTGGCCTTTTTTATATTTTGAATGAAATACGTATTCTGACTGATGCCTTAACTATTCAAATAAATATATGTTCAAATAACATTGATTGCGACGTTTGTTTGCTTAGAAGTGGAACAGCCTGTTTTGAAAAGATTCTTCAAATCGTCAAAATACGTATATTTCCCGCGTCGCAAGGCCGAATAGACTACTGCATTCGTTTGATCCGTGTAACATGTCGATTCACATTGTACCATTCTCTAAATGGTTCGTTTGTACATGTCGTGTTTACATCTGTTTCCTTCGTGTACATACGACAAATGCCTTTAGCGAGCATCACATTACATAATGTTACAATCACCAAATCGTATTCGATAAACGATCGATGATTAACATGTCGATGGCGTGTGCATACACTGCATACATTTTTTTCTTTCGTTTTCGTAAGAACACAAGTATAGATGGGCATGTCGCCCTTGACCGCAACTATTTCTTATTTAAATAGGCCTAAGACGAAGTGAAAGTTTCATTTCTTTCGCTCTATCTCAAAACAAAAACAGGGTGTATATATACATTTTACATTGATTCAATAAAATCTAAAGAAGATGAACGTAAAGCATTCAAATCGAGATAAAATCATCACAGAATGGTTCTTTCACGAATGGATCGGTGACAGCAGCCATTTACCTGGACCTGAAGATGTGTTGCTTTTTATGAAGATTGTCATCGATGTTGTCTCTATGAACAGAGCAATCGACGATTCCGAACGAAACTATCTCATTGGCCGAGCTGCGATACTTGGTACTGATATTCATCGGATTTCTCCTTTTTCATTCACATTTTATGTTTTTTTTTCCACAGGAGTACCCGAAGAGATGCTAGAAGAACTTCAGACATATCAAGGAGGCCTTGTGGAAGACGTTGCTAGCCTTGATATGCCTCATATACGGAAGACTCGCATGGGTATCATTTACAACTTATTTCGAATATTCGGTATTGAACGTAAGATTAGTCCCAAAGAACTTAAATTGATACATAACTTTGGCAATCAGTTGGATGTTACGAAAGATCAGATAAATCAGATTAAAGATTTGTTCGAAGAAGAAGAAAAATTACGGCAAAGACGAGCACAGCTGCTTTTCCCAAAAGGATTCGATGATGTTCTGGTCGAATATCAAAAATACAATATCGGAAAAGGCAAATTCGGTATATAATAGATACTGCTTTTTCTTTTTATAATAAACATATTATTCGTCTTCATCATATAAAAGAAATTTTAGATTTTATTTGAGCATTATATGGAGAACTTTTCTACAAATGTATTTCTTATCTTCTCAACTAGTTTTTGAGATGCAGCAGCAAGTAATCGTTACCAATTATATTCTATGCACTCAATTAGTAGTCGATCGGCGGTATTAGCAATGTCTGACATCGATCATATAGTCAATTACATACAGAAACACACATACATACTATAATGATCAACTACATGGCTCGATTTCTCGTAGTCGATTGTAATTTAGAATAGGGATTGCGGCGATATTGCTTTTTACTCAATTGCCCTGTCTTGATTTCTACATGATAGAAACCTTTCATTGATAGTAGTTCTAATATTAACTTGCTATTTGTTTATCTATCTGCCTTCTAATTTACTATTATCATCAAGTAGGGAAAAAGTAGATTTTCCGAATCCAGAGCTATCAACCTGATAAGAACGGAAGAGAATTATTTCATTCCTTTTGTCTCGCAGTCTCTAGATCGTTGCAAGTGATATTTCTCAGCAATGATAACCACATGAGAAAAAGAAGAAAATGTTCCTTCAGTTGCAAGTAGATTAAGACGATTTTTATGTTTCCTTACGCGTATACAAGCGAAGAAAGATGAGCTCGTTTTGGGTTACACAGCAGCTTCGCCATTTGTCAAGAATATGTGTATATGCACCAAACTTCATACATATATGCATAAGCGTCATGTCCGCGAAAGAGAAATTACGTGAATATCAACAGTAGCTATCCATTTTCTCTCGCCTTCTCTACCTACACATGAGTAAGATGAAAGACTAAAATAGATAATTCTTTCTCTGGCAACAACAAAGAAATCATCGAGTCGAAAGAAAGAAAAGAAAGATAAAATCAACTGTACTCTTGCTTGTAATCTCAACTAGTTCGGTCAGTTCTTTTGTGCATACCAGAACAAACAGTCATCATCATTAACAATATACAACGACTCACGCTCAACAATGGCAGACGTAAGTAGCATTGAATAAGACAAAAAAAAGGAAACAGATTCGTACCATACTTTTTGTTTTTACTGATGATCATTCTAATCGAAATCGAGATATGAGTTCATCTGTACTTCTCACTTCGTCATAAACATATACACATGTGTTCCATTTTCGCATGTTAGGTCTCATTTCATTCGAAAACAGAAAAGATTGTTTTTCATAGAAAAAACTGAAGAAGAAAGCTCAACGTGCTACTAGCAATGTATTCTCTATGTTTGATCAAAAGCAAGTTCAAGAATTCAAAGAAGTAACGATCAAGTACACTTATCTATCGTTCAACGAAGCTTACATTTTTCTCCAATAGGCGTTTAATCTCATGGATCAAGACCGTGATGGTACGGTTAGTTTAGATGACTTAAAAGAAGTATACGCTTCACTTGGCAAATCGCCCAAAGAAACTGAGTTGAAGAGTATGCTCGAAGAAGGTCAAGGTCCAGTTAATTTTACAACATTATTGACTTTATTTGGTGACCGACTAAATGGTACTGATGAAGAGAATGTCATCCTGAACGCATGGAAGAACTTTGATCAAGATGGAACTGGACAAATTAATCAAAGAGCGTAGGTGAACATCGTTTGAATTCATGAAATATCTCTGTGTGTTTTCAATTTAGCTTACGAGAAATTCTTACAGGCGAAGGACGTCAGGAAGATCGTAAGTGTTTTCATTGAATATATGATTAATTACAGTTCTCATCTTTTCTTTTCAAAGGATTGAGCGACATGGAAGTAAGAATGTCATTTGTGCCTTCAAATATGATCTACATATTCGTTAATACGTTTTTAGTTTAGTCAAATGCTTGAAGGCGCACCATTAGATCCAAAAGGCAATTTGGATTATGCTGCGTTCACTCGACAAATTAAACGTGGCAAAGAAGATGAATAAGAAACTTTTTTAGGACGTTGATTTAAAACATTCGTTTTTTTTCTCGCGCTGCTTATTCTACCCTGATCTTATATAAACCTGTTTAAACATCTCTATTAATAAAATTGAATGTTAATTTCAAGAATTGAATTTTCATAATAATGACGAAAGGAATGAAGGAGAACGTCGTTTCTTCAAGTGTTCGATTACTTCGACAGCAGTTTCATTGTAGACGATACCGTTAAGTCAACATAATCGCGTCAACAAAAAGCTTCAATCGGCAGTTATAAGGAGTTCGGAATTTGATCTATCGCTAATCTTCGATTATTTTCCTTCTTTGCGAACGCATTCGCTTTCAAAATCAACGTTTGTTGAGAATTCCGTTTATCAATATTCATGCCGATATCAAGTGGATTTAGTTTTCATCGAACAAACCATCCGATTATCAGACCCGTTGTGCATCCTCAAATCGCGGTTCGTTCGAGGAAGGTAAATGTCGTTTTGATTAAATTGTCAGTCAGTCAAATCAATAATTGACAACGAGAAGAAAGAACGAGAAGTGCATCGGGCAAAAAATCAGTGTATGTTTATTTCAGACAACTAATAGCAACCGTTTTAAACAACGGCATTGAGTAGTTTCAATCAGAGAAGAAAATAAAAGGAAGTAGGCATTTTTCCTATTCATGGTTCATCGACGAGGTTAAAGGGAACTTTAAAATACAAAAAAGAGAGAAAAACACTTTCGATGTTAAAAAGTTATCATCAACAGTTTCGAGCTGAACAACGAGACAACTATCCAAATGCCTTATCGCCAACTTCGAAATTCATACCAGCTGATAGAATTCTACCACAACGGCCAACTGCTGTGGGTAGACAACCATCACGTTCGGATACATTCACATTATCGGCTAGACATCATCGAATCAACCCAAAAGCTCCAAAGATCGATCCAAGACCAAATTCTCCTTTCCAACAGAAAACAAACTCCAATAATACTGATAGCATCCGTTCCGTATTAAAACAGGCCAATTCTCCCAATCGACAACGAAATCCTGTACGTTTTGCTAAACAATTGGATGCTTCTTTCTCTTCTTCATCTTCTGTTCACAATCAAACTTCTCGAAATAACACCGATCGATCACGGCATTTGCGTATTGGTGTCGGCGAACATCTCCTACATCAACAAGCACAATCATCACCTCACACCTATCGTAATAATCATTCTACAGTAAGACAACACTCCACAGCCGTAAGGCATACTAAAATTGGTTTGAATTTTTATTTTATTTAGGAGAAACGGATTGTTTATACTACTCGTGATCGTTCACCTCGAAACACTAGTTCAAAATCAAAACGTACTGTTCCTGCATACCACCCAGCAATTCGATCCATTGTTGCTCCCCGTAAATATCAACCTGCAAATGACAGAGATGAAATCGTGTATGTCGACGATCATGGAAATGAAATTCCATACATACACGAAGATGAGCGGATACTCCGTCGTCGACGCAATGAAAAGAAAAGTATAGTTTACCATTCATCTCCACACATTGCTTATGAATGAATTTGAAATCAGAACAATCGATTTATTTCTATAAGTTTTATTTTATTATTTGAATAAAGAACATCACATATCTAAGTTGTAACAAAATCCGGATATTGATGTAAATCATTCGGTGTTCGATATTGTTCTTTCTTACAGTAACTTTTACAAATCAAATAAACAAGTATAATCAATAGCAAACTCGAAAATAAGATAGAAAATGGTACAAAATGTCTCTTCATTTTCGTATAAAGATTTGACTTCGTACACCTACCATTGGCTTCGATTTGAAAGCATTGTGACCAGAATGAGTACATTGAACTATAGTAGTCACGCTCGTTACGGATATTATTCAATTCGAAAAACATGTAATTGTGTTCATTAGCTGTGTACGGCTTCCATTCCGATTGCGAATCCGTTACGACCAACGAGGAGTCTTGATTGGGATTTCTAATCAGGCCGAAAAAGCAAATTTCAAAAGAAGAATTCAAACAAAACGAACCCCGTTTTGATAAAATTTGACCAATAACGGATCAACTGTCGACTGAATTCCTCTTCTTCGTTCGAAAAGTTATAGTAACTCATGTTAACATTACGATGAATTCGTCGATAACCACGTGCTAATGGTACACCAAAGACATAGTCTAAACGAGAATTCATGTCATTGTTTTCGAGATTCAAATTGCTAACCTAATTCAGCAAAATGTCCAATCACTTGAGGTAATAATTTCAAATGATCACGAAATAAACTTCGTGATTTGAATGTCGGCCAATGCGCGTAAACGTAAGCATAGTTTGATGTGTTTCTATTAGGTACTTGTGTTCGTAAATTTAAAGAATGAACCATATGATAATTAAACATTAAATCCGAAACGAGGTCGATGTAAAGTTTCAGCCTTATCGTGCTATTATCCTTTCCTAAAAGAGATTTGTCTATGAAAGAATCTAACTTAATTTGGAATTATTCTTACCCGGACGTTCATAGATTTTCCTTGTTTCGTCAAGAAAACATGAACCGTGCTGAAAGTTTGCCGCAATGTAACGTTCAATGTAATCGATACGAGAGAATTGAGCAAGAACCATTTTTGGATCGTAGCTTAAGATTTGTTCCACATGTGTTCGACTATCATAACTCATTTGATCATCATGATATTCTTCTTCATCATGATCTTCGTAATCGTTCTCTTCATTCTGTTGATCTCCAGTTATGATTATATCAGGCGGAATGATTGCTGGCAAATGTCGTGATGTCGAACGTTTTTGCCGACTGCTTGGACGTTTACCAATGGATGCTGATTGAACATTTAAGTCACCATAGAAATGTCCGATATGGTATTCCGCGAAGTAGAGACCTTCGTTAAGAGTTACACCTGTGAGAAAATCGATATTTTCATAGATATCACTTTGAATGAGATTTTCAATTGAATCATCTAGAAAATCATTGTCGATCACAGGATATGGATTGTCATCCGCTAGAAAAGAAGACGAAACTCGATTGTAATCATACACATTCAAAATTACCCACCAATACTAAGACTTAAATGTAGACGATAAAAATCTCCGTTTTTATCTTGTAATAATCTATTGATACATTCAAACATTTCATTATCATCAGGATATTGACAATAAAATTCTCGCGATAAACGTTCGATTAGCTTCATTGGTTGACGATTGACACTCCATGCTGCTAGGCCAGTACCAGATTGAGATATAACACGTTTAATCATACCACGGCAATGTCGACTTGCTAAAAATAGTTTGATAATATTTTCGATAGGCATCTTATGAAACCTACCCGGGATGAGCATCGCATTTCCAGCACCAGCTGAATGACCAGCCAAAGTTATACGTTTCGGATCACCACCAAACAAATGAGCATTCTCATATATCCATTCGACCGCTAATAATTGATCCCAAAGACCATAGTTTCCTAAAAACAAATTTGATTAAAGTACATCCTATTATGCCGTGTAATAGTCATCAGCTTTCAAAGTCGGTTTTTATTTGATCTTCGTAAAAAAACGGCTTCAGTTAAAAGCCTCCTCCGTAATTTACCTATTATGATAGATCATGCAAAACTCAATGCGCATGTCAGTTGCCATCTGATTGTGTTAGTCATCCTTCAATCAGAGTAAGAATATTTTACGCTCGGTTGAATGTATAAATTAATTTAAACTTCTACTCCAAAAATAACACCCTATCATTTCATCCTCAACCTATAATCTTGATATTCTGAGAAAACCATTCGTATGATTTCATACCTTTGATTCTCTCGTCGCCACTCGAGAGAAATCCGTGATAATTTAATCGAAAATTCATTGTGATTACAATAATATCACCTTCACTAGCTAAGATGCTTCCATCAAACAACGATCCGCCTCCGATCTGGTTCGACCCACCATGAGAAAATAACATAATCGCCTTACGTTTTTCTCCGTAACGTAGATCAGCTCGGTAAATGTTCAACGAAAGACAATTTTCATGAAAGTTATGTTGCATGATAAATGAACCGTATGAAAGATTCTCTGTCATCAGTAACGATTGCATACAATACGGAGAGAACTTCGTTGCATTCTGTAATGAATAGTTGAAACTTTTTCGAACTGGCTTTTCAAGTGATAACGGCGTTTCAGCATAGTAAATACCAAGAAATTGATCAATATAACGGTTCTGAGAGTATCTTATTCGTCGACCACGATAGATGCCCGTTGATGAAATAAGATACGGTCCTGCCGATGGTTTCGTTTTCTGAGAATGCTTTTCATAACCCGATAGTTTCAATAGACTTTCATGTGTGATATCAACAGTTGAAAAATTGGCTTGTGTTAACGTTTTTCTACATGTTGCTAATGTACAAGTTGGTAGTGTTGAATTCAATACTAATTGATCAACAATACGTTCGAATGGTGGGTAGAGAATAACCGCTGATGTAAGTTGTAATGGAACAACTCGAAGTAGTAAAAAACACAAGACAGTGTAGATCGATCCATTATACATGATAACGAAGATTGAATGTAAATTAATAACAAATGAAAGATTGCTGACAAGAATGAAATCGTGTTAATATAAACATACAGATCTGAAAATGTTCTATAGGAGAATCATTGTCTGAGCAAGTTGGCCGTTGTTTTAATGAACACTTCTTAACATTTAATATTGATAGAAATAATCATAACAACATAGACGACAAATCCATTAGAGATACGTATATGAAGCAAACTGGTAGAGAAAGAAAAACGACGACAGCGACGATGATGGTGACGGATAAAAACAAGCAAGTCTGTTATTCTACTTCATTGCAAACTTTTATTATCGTTATATGAAGGAAGAAAGTAAGCGACGAAATTCTTTCTTCAATACACAGCAAAGAAGAAACACATTTTTTTGTCATGATAAGATATTTTTTATATATCACTGTACGATTTTGAGAAGCATATTTTCACAGACATAAAAAGAAATTATCTCGAATCTACTGACACCTGATATCAATTGATATTATCATGCAAAAATAAAGAAGATTGACATGTTTTCTTTCCAGCGTCGATAACGATATTCATCCATCTTTAGCTTCTTGTTACACATTCACCGTAAACGAATGTGAACTGACAATTCTCTTGTGTGTATACAGATTGATGAATTGATAGCCCAACACATCAGACAGAGTTTATGCATAGTGAGAGTTACGGTCATGAAGACGATAAGATATACAAGACGCATTCATTTAACATATTTCTTTCATTTGTTTGTAAATATCAGTATTATCATCGAATAGATGAGAGCAACTCTACAAACATAAACGCAGCAAAGAATGATGATGATGATGTATAAGTGGCTATACAATTCTGTGAGAACCAAGTTGTATCATAAGAGAGTATCGCTAGTCGCTCGTCAGAACTTTTCCTACGAAGTTTTTCCATGAAGAACCCGTCACACAGATATTCCTCTCCAACTCAGTACTCGAATAGAAAACTGTTTTCTATCCGAACCAGAGATAACATTTCATACGAAGGTCAATCATCTCAGTCTATTAGCAAAGTTGATATGGGTCGACTGCGCCTAAGGATCTTTCTTTGTCGATACAATCTTCGAAATACGATGGTGATAAATAAGGCAAAAGTACATCACAAATGGGTATTAATCATCGCCAGTTATTGTATCGATCAATTGAGATTCTCCCACTTTTCTCTACTTTATTAGTAATTCACAAAACTCTTAGATAAAAGGTCATAATGTAAGATTATGTACCATTTTAGCAAGTCGAATCGATCGAGATGTCATGTTAGATATTTACATTCATAACCTCACCTTCTAGCACCACTGATATTTGTTGAAAATAGCTGAGAAACCTTTAATATTCTTCGATATGCTCATCCAATCAATCAACTATGCGCCCACTAAAATACATTAATTTTCTTGAGAAACACAATCAATTCAACTGCTATGAGCATCAGTTTCCATTACACTCAAATTCATTCGCGTATAGTACTTTTCAAAGATTGCTACTTTTGACGTCGTTCATATGACAATGAAAAACATGTTCTTTTTGCAAAACATACGCTCGTACGTAAGTAGTTTCTTTCTTTTTCTTGACATATTATACATGTGTGTAAGAGTCGCACGTGATTATGATTAAAGTGCCAAAATAAATCTTTCGAGCTCTACAACGACAAGTGCAGTATTTTCATGTTTCGTTCTTCGCTTACCTATTTGTCAATCATACACGTACTGAACCAGAAGAAGCGCTCAAGAGATCTGCTCTTCGATAAACTATTTTTAAACACGAGAACATAGAACAAAAGAAGATAATTAGTGTTGTGTACTGCGAAAGATTCAACAAAAGTCAGCGCCAAAACTCGATATTATGATATTCTCGATTGATGAAATGGCATTTATTGGACGACGCCTATGTTTGTTCTCAGAACAGAATCACTCGGTACAGTCCAGAATACAGCCAGAAACATATATAGATATATTACAAAAAGACAAACATATACCGCATGCTTCGTATACGTAGATATCGCATATATTTATTTGTAAATATCATTATTATCTTCGAATAGAAGAGAAGATCTTGCTTTGGAATAAATAGTACACAGTGATTGTATAAACATAAAGACAACAACAAAAAAAAAATGATGATAATGCAGAAACATGAATCAAACAACACTGACAAATACCTACAAGACTGTACAGTGATTATTTATGTATATATTTGGTGGCAGAAAGAGAGAGATATAGTATAAAAAGAGGTTTCTTAGCATGTTTAATTGGCATTTGATGCTGTTGGTTCACTTTGCCTGCCGCACTACATCGATAACGATTAGTTTTTCACCCTTGGAAAGTTGAATCACTTACGTCAGCAAGAAAATTTCGTATTTGATTGGTATAGTCATGTGAAAGCCAAGTTGTGTTGTGCTGGCCATCAGGAAATATCGCCAAATGCTTTTTTGAACTTTTACATTCCTACAGGAACCACAAATATGCACATTTCATACGAAGTTTTTCTATGAAGAACCCGTCACACAGATATTCCTCTCCAACTCAGTACTCGAATAGAAAACTGTTTTCTATCCGAACCAGAGATAACATTTCATACGAAGGTCAATCATCTCAGTCTATTAGCAAAGTTGATATGGGTCGACTGCGCCTAAGGATCTTTCTTTGTCGATACAATCTTCGAAA